TTCTAGGAGAGATATCTTGTCCTTTATGCTTTACAGTAATTGAGGACATGAGTTTGACAGGATCAATGTCAAATTCTTCAAATGGAAGTTGTGTTCCAAAGTACCGCACTAAAAGATACATATTGTTGAAGAAAAAATTGACGAGTGATTGAGGCTCCATGATAACAGCTCCATCGATAGCATAATTTGCTGATTCAGAAACCGATGTGCCATCATATCCACTAAAATCTTTATAAATAATCTGCTCATCAAGTATTCAGAATAAGCTTATATATAGCCAGAAATTTTGGGTGGAATTGAAAAATTCTGATTTTTTGTCCAATTTGCCAATGGAATCATGCTATTTCCATTTCCAAGCATTATAGATCATGGAGAATATGAGACCAAGGCAAATCAAAGAGTGTCGTGTGCTACTTCCTCTCCTGGAGGTGCAATTGGAGGAGATCTGCCATGTCGAGTGAGACCGCAGAAGTTCATGACCATTAAAGGCTGCAGAACAAAGTAGCATCCGAGAGCTAAAAGGTGGAATCTTCCAGGTTCATAGTTGCTTGGCAGATTGCTATTCACAATCATTGAAGTCATTGCTGCAACCCAATCAAAGCCATTAATATGACCATCTGTCGATCCAAATTCACCCATCCCTTCAAGACCCTTTTCTAAAGCACACTCAGAATAAGCCTCTTAGATATCTAACACAAACTTACCAGTGCATTCTTCATAGCTTACAGCTGGTGCTATATTGAGTTGCATTGCAGGAAAGGCAAAGTTATCTTTGATACCAATCCTAGGTACATTGTGGTAACGAGAATGTTCTTCCAGAATTTCTAGCATTTCAGCTGGTGCATACATTCTCATTGACGTCATTGAGACTGTGGCACATAGCTGCCATAGATTTAACAAATTCAGACTTGTGTTCTTTTACAATCACAAATCTTATCTTTGCAATTTTTTGACGGATTTTTTCATTTGGTGTCAGCTTGCCATTACGAGTTCTTACATTAGTAAGACTTGTTCTTTCAACCTGGGTCGCAGAGATCATTTTACTTTTCCACATTATGGTCATCCATGCTTTTTTTCCCACAGTAAGTATTACATTGATGGCATAGCTACATTTTCCATAGTTCACTACATTTTTACTGGCTATTGTAGTAATGCTCTTCTTGCCCTCTGCAAAATCAAAATCACCAACCTCCCTTGCTCACTGCAGCCCTCTCTCTCCCTTCCAACATAACCCCCAGCACCATCCAACAACAGCCCTGGTGCCCAAATGATCCTGGACTTCACAGTTCAGCACCATTCATGCTTCTTCAGCCACTGCTGCCTGCCCCTCTCACCCCACGACCACCTGCTTGCCCTCCTCATCCTTTGCCTCTTGCCCCTCCCAACGGGCCTCAAGAACAAAGAACGATGGTGAACCAACATGCCCCTTCTTGCCCTTCCCTCCTCACTCTTGACTTCTGCCACCACCCCCCCTCTTCTTGCCCCTCCGATGCCACTTGCCCATCCCAATGGCCTTCAAGGATGCCCAATGATGCCGAACACAGAGGTTGGGTGATGTTTGTGCTCATTCTGTGTCCCGCCTGCCTGCCCATCTAGCACTGCCTGCCTGTCACCTTCCACCACCACTACCCCCTCCTCTTGCCTCTCCAACACCTGTCGCCCATCCAAATGGCCCTCAAGGACGCTGAACAATGCCAAACACAGAGGTTCAGTGTTGTTCGTGCTCATTCTGTGCCCTGCTCACCTGCCCATCCAGCACCGCCCACCTCTCGTCTTGCACCACCACCACCCCCTCTTCTTGCCCCTCTGATGCCCCTCACCCATCCAAACAGCCCCTGAAGAGCTCTGATGACAACAAATAACACCAAACACAGAGGTTCAGTGGTGTTTACAGTCGTTCTGTGCCACACCAGCCCCTTCTCACCCTTCCCCCTCCCTCTCGCCTTCTGCCACCACCACCCCCTCTTCTTGCCCCTCTGATGCCCCTTGCCCATCCAAATGGCCCCCAAAGAGCCCTGATGACAGCAAACAATGCCAAAGCTCTCATCCTCTAAAAAAGTTCACTTTCAGAACATCATGAAATAGAATAGATATATATTGAGAATAATTATGTGAAATACATGTTCCAGGAAGCAAAGGCCAAGTTATGAGTATGAATGAGAGAACACTGTTGTCAAGTCACAGAGGTGGTTGTTGTTGACTTGTGGAGGCTGTCATGAAGTTGCACAACATGATGATGAACTGGTGGGGTGGAGTAAGTAATGGAAGGAGGGATTAGGGTCAGTGACATACTATGCTGGGTCTCCCACTGCTCAGGTCTCCCTTGTGGTCCTTCTCTCCATCCAGCTCTTCCATAACCCTCATTGGAGGGCATGGCCATGGAGATGTTGGACCTGACATTGATCTGTGGAGGCGGTCATTGAGTTGTTGGAGCTGACATTGAGTTGTGGGGGACTGATATTGAGCCATGAGGGAGTGGCTTCCAGTTACTGTGGCTGATGTTGAATCAGCAGGCCAGCATCAAGACATGGGGCCTATTATCAACTTGTGTGATGCAACAGAGAGCTAGCAGGTGAGCAAGGAAGAGTGGAAGAAGAGGTAGCCAGTCACTCACTGCATTGGGCGTTCGGTCTCCGGCTACTCGGGTCTCCAGTTACTTGGGTCTCCCTTTGTTTTCCTCCTCCTCCATTCAGCCCTTCAAAATGTGCCCTGTCCCTCATTGGAAGGCACAGGTGCATGGTGTAGATATCTATAGTAGAAGAGGGAGAGGAGGAATGGTGATAGTAGCAGCAGAAGAAAGAAAGCGATGATGTAGCACGCGATTATGTCCAGCACAAGTCACCTGATAATTTACCTTACTGTCTACAAATGAAATAATATTAACATACTCTACATTATATTTATGGGTACTGTATTTTTCTCCTGTATTTTACATTAATTACACAAGTTATTTCATGAGAATTGAATAAGAATTGACAGAGATATGTAATTTGCAAGATGAGGTGGAGCAGCTGTGGTGGCTTTGTTTGTTTAGCCAAACATATGACGCACGAAAACTCTCCAGGAGTTTTTGTGCGTCATAGCTGTCAAACTCTGCTCACATGACCTAGCAAGTCACATGTCCTTCTACTACAGAAACAGTGTCTCTATATCTCTGCAACAGCTGCACCTACAGATCTGAAATTTATATACCATGAGGCGATGTTCAGAGAAGCTTACATAATAAATTTCAGATTTTCAGGGGTGCTGTCACATGAGATATTACATGTTTTAAATGCAGAAAACCCACACCTCCAGATCTCAACACCTACTCATGCTACAGATCTATAAGTCTGAGGCCAATATCACCTATATTATACCTACTTGTGTACAAATTTTCAGGACTGCTGATTGTCTTGATGCCAAGATATTGCCATATGCACATTGTTTTAAATGCAAAAAACCCACACCTCTATATCTCAACAGCTACAGATGCTACAACTCTATAATTTTGAGGCTATTATCAACCATATTATAGCTACTAGTGTACCAATGTCGATTGTCTGGATGCCAAGATATTGCAATACGCACATTGTTTTAATGCAAAAAACCCACACCTCAGTATCTCAACACCTACTGATGCAAGAGGTCTATAATTTTGAAGCTATTATCAACCATATTAGATATACATCTGTACCAACTTTCAGGTCTGTCAATAATCCAAGTGCCAAGATATTGCAATATGCGCATTTTTGGGTTTTTTGGTGCAAACCAGTAATTTAAATATGCAGCCATGAATAATCAATGTGCATCTATGAACTCTACATTTACTAAAGACCTTCTGTATCCTACATAATGCTGCCAAGGTGTTCCAGTGCTCTGGTCCTTACCAGGGGTAGAGATTTGAGTGCACATTTTCAGCTATTTTCAGAAATCAGCACTATTTAGTCAATTGTGCACACAATTCTGTGCATGATGCTGATATTTTGGGACCAATATAACTGAACATTGTGACTCCTCATTAATGCAGATTTGTTTTAGCTAGGGGATGTCTGAGAGAGAGGCCAGTGAAGCCACATTTTCATATTTTTAGGGGTGTGAAGCATTAATTTGACTGTAGATCTACCAAATCCTGGAATTTTCCCATGTTCAAGACCTCTACTGAGAGTTATGAATATTTCATGATTTATGATATTTTAAAATT